TTCTTTCGTCTTTGTTTCGCGTCCACAGTCAGTCAGTCCGTCTCGTTTTCCCTCATTTACTCAATGAGCAATTCACTCGATTTACCTTCGATTATTTACGGCAACTGGAACAAAAGGTTTTCTGTCATTTAAACTGCAGTGAACAAATCAATCTTTCAAATCGAATACTTCAGCTATTTTAGTCCCATATGAAATACGGTCTTTGAATTTGAAAAAAAAACAATTCAGATGAACTTTCAAAATAAACAATTCAAATGGAAATGAGAGCGAATGAAAAAAGCCAAGAAGTTGAATGATCGATAGTACATTTGATTAAAAAGCATTTGCTTATTAATCCAGACTGCATGGTATTTATTTGCGATAAACTCCATCTCATTCTAAATTCTTCAGATTTTTTTTTCTTTTAAGACGTTTCTTTAGACGTTTCTTAAGACTTAATCTTTTTATGTCAATTTTATTTCACGAAAAAAAAAATATCGCAAAGTGTCGAAAAATGTGCAGCAATAAAACTTCTCCATACGTTTTGGCTCTTTGGTCAGTTGCTGATCTGCAAAATGCGATGTGTTGAACTGCAGAACACGAAACAAGCGGAACAGAAGACGAGTGCGTTTTATTTACACATATTTCAACACGTCCACCGTCCCACACTGAAGTATACTCTTGCGAAGCGTGCGATTTATGCACATTCAATACATGTGTTATTTATGACTCGTACAACATAACTAAACTCTTCGTGTGTATATATTTGTTGATAAATCCTTTGTCCAATTTAAGATAATTTTTTCCTTTCTGTTAGCTGTTGTTGTTATTCCTTTGTGCACGCGCTCATTCGCAAATGGTTTCCCTTGCAGATTTTTACTGTGTCGAAGCATATTTATCATTGTGTTGCACGATTTGTTCAACATGTAGGCAATTATTGACTGTGTTAACATGTTCAAAATGAAGCAAAAAAAAAAAAATGTGAAAATATATTGAAGAGGCGCAGAAAATATAACGTTGATAGGCAAAGTTCAAAACGATGATAAATCAGTTTTTAGCGATTAATTGAGCATTTGGCTATGAAAATTTCACACCAAAATAATGAAATTCCAAAGTTGAAATCGAAAAAAAAACTTTCAGTATTCACAGCATTTCGAAGTGAGAGCAAAAGCAGCAGAACTCGATCGAAAGTTGGGAACGTATTGGTTCGGATTTAATTTGTTCGCTTATCTGTTGCAGCATATATAATTGCCAAATGAAACAGTTGAACGAACTTAAATCCAGTTAAATGGTTGCGACATTCGTAATTTTGTCTGGAGACGGTCAATCAAATATAGCGATCTGGCGAATTTGAGCTGAAAACACAACTCAACCTCGTCTAATTCCGAAATGTGATTTTTCCATCGAAAATCGATTTCTACTTTTTTTCGTCGCTTCCGCTTTCTTCTTTGATTGCATCGAATTGAATGAGATTGATCAGGCTTTTGGGAAGAAAAATAGAAACTATTCTACTAAAATGTCGAATGGAGCAGCAGCAGCAGCAGAAGAAGAAGAAAATAGAAAAAAAGAGCCCGAACAACAACAGACTCTTTGCAAATGTAACTTGTGTGTCATACGAAATCAACGGAGGTGATTCTACACATCCGTTTCCATTTAGTACTAAAGAAATAGTTCGGTTGAGCCATGATTCGATCTTGCCATGTCTGGCGATGCAGCCAGATATAGCAAAAGTGTTGAAAAAGTGAAACGAAACAAAAAAAAAATATCGGCAAATACTGAGAAAGACAGAATTAGAAGAAGCAAGAGAGTGAGAGAAAAGTACAGAAACATTGAAAATAGGAAGTGTCCTTCGAAAAACTAAATCGTTACGGCTTTTTCAAGTCCAAGAATGAGCTAGTGATGCTGAAAACGAGCGCACAAATGTGTGCTATAGAGAGCTGTTGAGTTGCGGATAGAAAGAATCAAAAAACGACTGAGCATCGTATTAAATGTAAAAATGCTTGTTTCAGACAGATGTTGAAAGAGGGAATAGGAGAAAGAGCGGAACATACGATGGCCGTGATTCGTTCTTTAAATCAGCATGTCTAGTACCACACAAAATCGAACTAATTCGACATGTACGCTCCAGTGAAACAAATAATCTCGACGACGAGCGATGTGTGTGTTGATGTGTGTACGATAAAAGGAGGAGATAACGAGAGAGAGAGAGAGAGAGAAAGAGAGAGCGAGAAACGAAAAGGTGTCGATTTAAATTATTACTGCAAGCAATAACGCATTTTCGTGCTCGAAAAGTCTGGCAACCGTGAAATTGCTAAGACCAAGTGCATTTTTGCATGCTCAGCGACAGGATAGTGAAATTATGAGCGCTTCAGACACACTCACACACATACACATCGAGACAGAAAAGATGAGGGAAAAAAAAACACCGTTGCCAAACTAAAAAGCCAGTGTGAACGGAAAATAAAATGAAATAAAACTGGAAGTGATTGAGTAAAAGTTTTTCGGGGCGAGAAAAATGCGATATCTCGATGGTGACACTAAGCACAGGATTGCAGCAACGCCAAAATGTTAGTGGCGCGCTCGCAGAAGGTCAAACAAGTATTTTCTATCAATTCTGAACAAAAATCAGATAAACTCATCGACTAAAAGCTAATAGAGTTGTCGCTACATATTCTCTTATATATTATTCGATTTTTTCTCGTTGATTGTTCAATTCTACAATCTTGTTTTCTGTCAATGTGAGTGCGTTCATTGCACAAGTGGCTGCATTAAAGTGATAGAGTGAGAGACCAGACATGGAGAGTGAATGCGAGATTTCGCATGGTGCGAAAGCGTTTATCAATACTTCGTTAAGCTTGTGCAAAGTGTAATTTTTCACTTTCTCGCCACTCAAATGATAGCTGCATCATTGGAGGCTGGTCGACGGTGTTTGATGCACCTCTATAAAAGGTGAGAATGGAAGGCGCATTAATGGTCAATAAGGCAAAAGATAAATTTGTAGAATGAAACTCCCTTCGATGGGTATACAAGTGCACTTTAGCACTTTTGATGGCTTGACGCTTTCTTAATGCTTTCATTGGAGGCCGACGATGATGATGACAATGATAGGACACCAAAAGCGCATTCGCTTCACCCGAAAATTGACTGTATTTCTTTGTGATGACACTATCCACTGCAAAATGAGAGAAAACAATATTTATAACACATTCCTCAAACTATCAACAACAGTTTTCCGTTTTGCAGGCCCCCGTGCGTATTCCCGCATCGTATATTCGTTCCTCGCTACGTGAAAAATATCTTTTCGAATCCTAAAAAAACCAACAGCACATACACATTTTTCATTTGCTGTCATTTTGTGCAACAAAATATGAAAACTTTGTATTGCTAGCGTGTGTTCATGTCTAAGCAAACAATATGTATTCGGATGGAAGTGCACGGAAGCGCGCGCGCTTTCGCTTCCACTTGCATCTCGTCGTTGATGTTCTATATTTTGTCGCAGCTATGTAATGTTGCTGCAGTTTCAATGCGCTACTCCTCAAAAGTTCATATTTCAAATTGGATTTAAAAAGTTTTTGACAATAAAAGCATTTATTTGCGAATGGATTTCATTTTCAGTTTTGGACTGCTCTTGCTCAAGTACACATTTTTCACACAACGACAACGAAGACAAACAGGGAGTAATGGTTTTTCGTATGTGCTTGTACTTTTGGGAGAAAAAGTGAGTATATCACGCGACACCACCACTTTTTCTTCCATTTTCACTTCTTTTTTCTTTGTCAAATGCAACTTGATCAGATATTTTTGTTATATGCTCCCATGACTGAGACATGAGAACTTTTAAATTGACTAAAATTTTCTGATTCGCATTGACACTTGCCGCACAACCGATGCACTTTGTAAACAGAAAATCACCAGAGACAAAAAATGAACGAAACAGCCCACCCACAAAACAGATCAACAGCGAATAAAAAGTGTCAATTGATAGAGTTCGACATTTGTTGTTAATACGAAATTGCCAGCCAATACATCTGCAACGGGATCTTGAATGAAATTACAAATTGGCAAAGATGTTCATCGGCGACGATTTCGTTGTTGTGTGTGTGTTAGTGTATGAGTCAAATTTGGATTGATTTAATCAAATTGGAGCAAATTCGTTCGAGCATGCAAGCTTTCAAATGAAAATGATGATGTTTTCATTCACAAATTCACTATTTTTCGTGCAAAATCGTTGACCTAACGTTATCAAATATTTGCACATGAAATGGAAAACCGAAGCTTCGTGTGTTTTCTTCAATTCGAACATAATTATGGACGATTTGAACATTTAAAACGTTTGTTCGCTTGACACGTGTACATTTTAATTGGCCATTGACCTCCGAACATGAACTTAACACACCACAAATGAACAAACCGGTGGCACTACCACGACAAACCGTTTACCAAATTGAATGCAACACAAAGGAATGCTTCTTATGCATATTCCATGATATTGATTCCACTTTTCCGATCTCTTTGATTATCAAGTTTTCTTTACTGTCGCAAAAGCTGGCTTGACTTACTTGGCATGACTTTTCTACCAAATGTTTGGCGAACACAATCGAGGTCCGTATATATATATAAAAAACAAAAATACAAGAGATTTAATATACAATGTAATAATTCGGAAATATTATAATCTACTTGAAATCAAAGAACTTAAAAATTTAAGAAATAACATTTGAATTATTTTCTCAAACGAATTTTTATTCAATTTTCATCTTAACTTTTTTACCGATCATTAGCAAATGCCGGTACAGGTAATATATGTACAGATAATTTTCTTTACAAAATATGAAGCATACCATCTTTTTAAAAGACAATTCAACTTTATGGCGATACCTTGATGTGAATATTTTTACTTTCATTTTGGGCTTATTTCACAAAAAACGGTCAAATGTTCTTATACATAGAAATTTATACATTTTCTTAGAAATTACAAATTCAATCATGAATCATTCTAATTTTATTTTATATATTTTCAGTTTTCGTGGCAGCTTTTGGATTGGGATTTCTAAAGGTACCTTATTAAAATTTCAATTCAAATCGATTTATTTGTCACACAACGGCTTTAAAGTACAAGTTGTACCGTGAAATAGGGTTTTTAATGCGTTTTTCCTCTAAATGCAAAGCATTCTATTGGCGTTTTTGTAACATTGCTTTATCTATAATTGGCTTTGCAATTAGGGAATAAGGGAATGGTTGATTCGGAACGAAACAGGCTAAAAATGATTCCATCTATTCTCAATATTTTGAATTTTATGTGATTTCGGATGATTGAATATTAAAATAATAACAACAGTTACTTTTGAGATAATTTCACCCAAAAGTAGCTTGCGTAACTGCATTCAGTCAAGGTAATATTACACAATAAAACACAACTGCGGATGTATTGAAATCGCATAAACACGTTCGGAGTATGATTTTTAATAAAAGATTCCCCTTGTAACAAACTAACATGTATCATTAAATGCTTCGTTTTATGTGACAAGAATTAGTGTAAAAAAATTGAGTGCACTGAATACATACAAAGGAGACGTTTACATTTCAGTCATTTATCACTTGCCCTATCGCACTGTACAATTTCTTTCAATTCAACAAAACAAACTTGGTAATGTATTTTTTGTTGTTCAGTCAGTTGCGCTGTGATTGCTTGATGTGTATTCCATTTAGTTCACATGAACGACTTCATTCTCTTGAGATTGCCGTGTCATTTCTTCATTCGTTAGCATTAAACCGAGAATGAAATGTGAAAATGGTCGATGAAATGTTATACAAAAGTGAATTTGAAGGAAATAACAACAAATGTTATTCGAAATATAATTTAACTACTAAAAAAAAGAAAGCCACTTGCAGTCGAAATTAATCAAGTCCAAACAATCAAAAGCAATTTCGCAGTGGTGCGTTCCTTTGAAAATGCTGATCGCTCACGTCAGAATAACGAAACCGCAGAATTATTTTTGGTTGCAGCTGATATTCTTACTACGATTACTATCAGATAGTTGAGGGCAAACGACTGTCTAAATCGATCAATGTCATATTGAAACTGACATTTGCACATAAACATGCGGCTATCACACGCTGAGTAACTCAATTTCAAGCACAAACAAAGAACAAAGAATAAAAAATACATATGATGTAACACTAACGTCATTCGCCAGTGCGAATGGTGCATGATGTAAAAAAGAAAACGCACATTTCTATCAATTGCTGTTAAATTATCGTGCATCGACCGGTACCATTGTGCGTGTCGCTCTGGAATGGGCCATCGTCACGATTCACATTGAGCGTGCAATAATTAATTTGACACATTTCACAAACGAACTGAATCACTTCGATGCGTCTTTCACGGAAAACACGCTTTTGTGTACACCTTTTTGTATACATTCTTGGCTTCTTTTCTAATTTATTCCACTTCTTCCTGCTAACTCCATTTTCTACATCCATTTTAATATATTTTAATTCATATTTCATAGAATTAAAATCGCGCATAAACTCATATTCGATTGGCAAAAATATATTCGTATCGAAAATTCTCCTTTTTTGTGTTCATTTCGAATGAGTTTCAAACATTGAAAATTGTATCGGAAGAGAGAGAGAGAAAGAGAGAGAGAGAGAGACAGACAAAGAGTTCCAACTGTTTTTGATTGCCTGAACGGAGTTCCAATCGATACAAACAGCCTCTAGTCCAGTAGTTTGTCTGTCTGATTGCTTTGTGTACGGTCTGTGTATGTACACATTCGATCGAACGGGAAGAAGCGAGAATTTTCTGTTTTTATGTTATAAATTATAAAAGGGAAGCATAATTTATTTATTGACATGTTTGAAATGGTGGCGAAGGTGGTGCCGCAAATGCGATCGACGGGAATAATGATGACGACGACGACGACGATTGCGAACCGAAAAGCGAAAAATCAAAAATTGACTGTAAATAGTGTGTGCGTATAGTGCTATTGTGGAAGCAATTCACTGTGTGAAGCAAGCAAATGAATAGCAAATGGTTTTTGCCCGTCTATTCATTCCATTGCACATATTTTCCATATTTATAATGGCACAAGTGAATTCATATACATGCTGAAAATATGGGACGCCGATGCATATTAACGTTAAAGTGTTGGGTCGGTTGGTCCGTTGGTTGTTTGGTCGTTCGACCGTTTGCTGTGCCTCCCCGTGGCGGTAATTATATATTGATAATTAAACGAGCCCAGCATGTGTGTGTGTGTGTGTGTTTGAATACATGCGATTATTATTAATGTCTACAATATATATATTGGGTGCGCGCACTAGGCACGGTGCGTTCAATGCCACAATATTGAGTCTTTGCCATTAGTCAGTGAACCAAGCACACCGAATCAAAATCACAGCGTCTAAATTAAGAACCAACTGAGAGACAGACAGACGGAGAGAGAGAGAGTCCTTTGCAAACAAAGGGCTCTTTCAAGTTGTGTGTATTATGGTTGGTTGTTTTTGTTCTTTTCTGCGTTGAAATTCCACTATCAAACGAAAAAGGTTCTACATGATTTATTTACCATTCAATCAACCATCCGAATTTCATTAATTTCCCTTCATGTCAATAATTACAGTAAATATGCATGATTTTCAAGTCATATATGTTGAATGAGTAATCAAATTTTATTGACTTCGTCAATGTTGTTTGGTATGAAACACACAGTCTTTTGAAATTTAAGTTTAAACAGGTTGTCATTTCATTTCACCAGAAATATTTGGCTCGCACATTTTTTCCCCGAGAATTTTTGACTTTAACAAATCGATCGATTGAACGCATGTGAATTTTAATTGAAACACATTCAGAGCACCGCTCAAACTGTCAAGTTGTCAAAGTCCCTGCGTTGACATGAAAGATACTCTTTCTCCCGCTCTGTTTCTAAATTACTCTATTCTCCCCCCCTCTTTCTATCTCATTCAATCACTCATGCTGGAAAATTGTTGCTTCAATGCGAAAAATCAACGGGACAACTCGCCGCAAATAATCAAAAGAGATACAGAAACCCAAAATAAAACAAAACCATATTCGTGTGAATATTCATTTCTCAAAGTCATTTCAAGATGCGTCCCATGAAATATTTTGCGTGTGGTTTTTCTCATTTTTCTATCTTTTAAAACATGCCGAACATCGACAAAGAAAAATGGAAACATTCAAAAAATGTTCGGCGTCGAGCAAATAGAAAAAAAATCTATGTTTTTTTCTGGACGTGTTGACAATGGCCGCATTTTCCTTTGTTTAATAAAAAAATGACGGTATATTTCGTAAGGATGTAGCTGGATGAATGAGAGAGGGAGGCATCAAAGGTGGCATGATGAAAGAGCCTTGTGAGGAAAATTAATGTTGTCACCGAGAAAAAAAAAAAACAGAAACACAAAATAGAGCAAATGGTTTCTTTTTCTCGCTACCAAAACGGGAGAGAGAGAAATATTTGATCGAAGTTTTGTTGTGACAACTCTTTAATGTGCTTTTATTTGTTTGCCTGTTTGAAATTCCGCGGGTCGACCGCTTTGTTGAGTGAGTGAGCGATCGTTTATGCATTCCAAAGTGAACATGTCGTGTGTTGCATCAGATCGGGGCAGAAAAAAATGTGGCTTTAACGTATTTTTGCTGTATGGCTCTCAATCTCCTTGTTTGCATCTGGATCAGTACATTAATCACGGCGATTTACGGCGAGTGTTTTCGATTTGTTTGAAATGTTCTCTTTTCTGTTTGTTGAAAATATCTCTACAGTTGCATATTTTTCGTATTTTATTCGTATTGGAACGGAACTTTACTATGGTGGTAATAGAATTTGAACCTTTTTTTTCTTTTTTTTTTCTTTTTGCAATATCCGTTCTAATAGTATTATTCTAATAAAGTTGAACTTTATTACTATTTAGTATTGTAGTAGACGTACAACTGTAGATGTCTCAAATCTGCTTGTCTTTCAAACAAGCCGTTTCCGAACCTATCCCGGCTCAATCTCACTCGCCCATATACACATACAGCATGAACACAACGAGAAAGCGATTTATTTTGAAATGGAAAATTAGTGTTGACAATTTTCCGTATTCGTAATCATGGTTTGAGTCGCGCATGGTGAAGCGAATGAAAAATGCACATTCATAGATTAGCGCACGCACATACGTACACACATTTTCGTGACACAATTTCTGATTTCGATTTTTCAGTGCAACTGTTGCTACTTAAGCCCTGCTTGATACTCGACGAATGTGAAAACAGATTAATTCTGTCAAATAAAAATGCGGCCAAAAACAAAATAAATCCACACATATCTAGACTAAAACACATTGCCTGTACTACCGTTTTCGGTCGTTGCAATTTCACTGCTTGATTTGTTTCAATTCACAAGCGCTAAAACAGAGAAGAAATCGCTTCCCATTTGCCAAATCACGCAATTTAATTTAAATACGCATACGATGGGTTATACAAAACTCATTGTGCAAAAATATTTGAAATTCGCTCTCTATCTCTGCCTCTCTCGGATGCTCTTGTCATTTTTGTCCATGCTCTCTTTCGATAAATTTCGTGACTTGCATTTTGTGCGGAAATATCTTTGAATCACATGCATATAACAAACATTTCATGCGCTCTCGCCACCATCTCCTAGCGCTGGCCACATTTTTTTTTTGTTTGCTTCGGTCAATGCTACATACAAATGTTCAGTGTGTGTATGTGCGAACCGACATGCCAATGCAAACCGATAAATGCATTCCGTGTTAGCTCGTTCAATCAATGCATAGAGATCATTTTTCATTTTTCTGCATTTTTCCTCGTTTGTTTCGAATTCTGGGCGATGGATTGTGTTATTCTGTTATTTTATTATTTCATATCCCCTGAAAACACTGAATTCCTTTCGATGTTGATATTTTATTTTCGTGGATGCATCATTTATGTGAGTGTTCCGCTGTGGCTGCTGTTATTGTTATTGTTCGACAACATCCACCAAAAGTTCTATGACAATTCGGATTCATTAAATATGCATATCGATCCAACTATTTAAATGAATTCAT